AAGGAAACATTTAATAAAAATGGTACTTTGTCTGAATATGTGTAGCTCTTCTCTCACTACATATCTGCTTGAAACCCATAGTTGGGTGTATTTTGAGTCAACAGCTTCAGTGGTTGGTCAAAGAGCTGAGCGATGAACCACCACAACCTGTTTCTCAGTGTAGCTGCTGCATGTGGTTTCACTTGTTGTCACGGCAGACATGCCGTTTGTACCTTACAAAGACCAATGGAGGAGTTTCTGTGTTTTAGTAGCTGTCCTCTGCATTTTCTAAAAAGCTGTACTTTTTTTTTTATGTACATAACATGTAAATTGTATCTGAAATAAAAAATGCTCATTTTTTATCATTGTTTGCTGTGCTGCCGTCTGTAGTTGTGGAAAAATATAAAACATGTCACTGTCAAAACCACTGAAAGTCTACTCCTCCCCCTTTCTCTGTTTGTGTGTGTCCATGTGCGTTGGTGAAAGCTGTGCAGTGAAACCAAATTTGAAAAGATCATTCTCACTCAGGTGAAAATGCACAGATGTGACTAGTGAGATTTATCTATTGCATCGCAATAATTGCTGTGGCCAATGGTTAATTTTAATAATTTCACATGTTCTTTTCCTGCAGTGAAAAATTTCCATGAAGGTCAATGTACCTGATTAATCTGTGGAGGATTAACAAACAAAATGACGGAAGCGTGTTAGGACTAAGATATGCTTGGAATGAAAATTACATGTGTATACAAGATGGACATTCTATTGAAAATAACTGACTAATTTTCCCCATAATCCCAGTGGTGAGTCCTAATTAGTGCAAACACTGCAAGAAGAACAGCAAAGAGGAAAATACAGCTTTCAGCAAATAACTATCGTAACGTTTACATGTTGCAACTTGTTAGGTAGCAAAGTAGCCACCGTTATTTAAAAAATAAGAGTGTTCAGTTAAAAAAAGGGAGTGAGGTCATCTGGGCTGAATGATAAATAAAGATTGCTCCATATCATAAATAATCTACAGTAAAAACAAACTATTCATTTAAAGATTTCAGGGAAATAAAACAAAACAAACTGTCCCTGATTTTGTTGATTTATTAATACTTTGTAGTTGAAATTCAATTTGATACAACAGCAACTGCAAGATTGAATGTTGTATATATTTCATTTCAATCAAAACCTGTGCCTAGGCTCAATGGTCTCTTTATAAAATCACATTTAAATAAAAGGCCAAGTTCAAATTGTGTGAAGGTTTCATGTCGTCCTATCCAGTCATCACTTAGAAAAATGTTTATTATCCTTTCTCATAGGCTCATCAGGACATGAATGAGAAATTAGCGGTGGAAGAATCAATTAATATATTGTTCTACAAGAACATATCAACAGTTAGCTAAATGTAAACTTGCATTCTGAAGAATGTGCTGCTTGCATCTGTAACCTCAGTGCTTCCTGTTGAAGCCCATGCTATTCTGAGTAAACAACCTCAGTGGTCGGTAAAAAAGGGCAGAGAGGCAGCCCACCACAGCCTGCGTCTGTGACTGCAGCTTTTGCAGGAGACTTTGTTTGTTCTGAAGACAGTCATGCAGAATTAATTAAATAAAGAGTTGTGAAACTTCAGAGTTAGAGGGAGTTCTTTTTACCAACCATTTTCTCTTGACAATAATTTTTACAGTATGTTTTTATACTAGAAAAATGTAATGTGATTGCGACATCTAAAGCCCCCTACACATGTGCTTCTTTCAGCTATGTTTCCACAGCCCTCTGTCCCACTGTCTCTATGTTGGCTTCTTTCTCGATGTTTCCACACATTAAGTCTCAAAGTTTTAACAGAGTTGGCTCAGGCCCTGAAACGTTGTCTTTCAAGTCAGTAAACATAATAGAGTATAAGTTTACAGCCTTCACTGTAACAGCAGATGTTGTATCTTAACCAATTATATTTTTTAAATTTGAAGGAGTCCCCAGTTACTTCAATAGTGTTGGATTTGGCTGCAACCCTGTTTATCCTTGAAACTCCAAAAGTGTTTTGTGGACCCACTACTCCATCAGCATAGTGGTGGGTAGATAATGGGTGAATTTTCCTGTTTGGGTGAACTATCCCTTTTAGATTAATTAAGGCTTAGTTTGTGCGTAAACTTGTAAAGTAAAATTATGGTTTCTTCAGAAGCAAGGTGTCTGGGTCAGGGGGGCAGAGAGGGCAAGGGGGCCTAGCTGAAAGGGATCTCTCTGCTGTTGTGACTGAAGAGCAGACAGAGAGAGGAGTGCAACTGAAGATTACCTGTTTGCTTTGTTTAGCGACTCTCTGCAGGACTTAAGTTAACCTTTTGCTGAAAAATCTGAATGCATTATTTGAGTAGGAAACCATCGCTTGTCGTCTTCCTTTTTCAAGGCATCCAGTTGTTAGAAGGCCTCTTCCTATTGTAGCGCTAAACAAATCTAGCCAAAAAAAATTCCCAGATGTCCCAGTTTTCCAGCAGCATTTAAATGCAGCAAGTATTTGTGAATCTGTGTGGAGCATAGAAAGTGAAATATTAATATTTATTCAGTTGGTGGTATGCATTTGTAAAACTGTTTTACATGTGCACAAATTGCTTGGTATTTGTGTGTGAATTTGAAAATGTGAATGGGAGTACCCAAGGTTATCATTGTATGCAGTTGTGAATCTTATATTTTACTTGCAATGTGACAATTTTGAGCCTATTTTCTCTCAAGTTTAAAATTGATTTCCCGATTGCCAAGTTTAGGGGTAAGAACAGTTTTTTATGTTTCAGCCAATCAGATTGTATTCTACTTTAAAGCTTGATGACCTTGTCAGAAAATCTGTCACTTGAACGGGAAGCCATGAGTAGGTCAAGAGAACGCTGCTGCACCACAATGATCAGGCGACTGGCTGCTTTGATTCTTTTTGGTACAGAGAGTGAGTACATGACTTTGTCAAAAATTCTACTGGAAATGATTGTTTAACCATCTATACTGTGTTTGGAGATTCAGAGATATATAATAAAGGCTTAACTTTTGTCTCTTCAGCTCTGATTCTTACTGCAGAGCTTCCTCACCTGATGGTGGAACGTGGCAACAACGTTACTTTGACATGTCCACTCTCTAAAGGCAAATTCTTTTATTGGTATAAACAGTCTCTTGGACATATGTTGGAAAGAGTTGCTTCAAGAATAGTTGACGTCCCTGAAGTCACAGATTCACGTTTCAAACTCACAAAAGGGGATGATGGGTATCTTCTTACCATCAGCAATGTCAGCAAAGAGGATGAAGCAACATACTTCTGTCAAAATGGAACAAGTTATCGTCAGACTTTCACCAGTGGCACTTTCCTGGCTGTGAACGGTAAAATACCTTGTACTATCAGTGTCTGAGCCCATTTGACAGACAATGTTTGTCATTGTGAAGTGATTTAATGCCTTTTTAAAATAAATGTTGCAGATCAAAATCAGCCGAAACATTACTGCATGAAACAAACTCCAGAGACAGTGTCAGTCGGACCAGGGGGGTCAGTGACTCTCCAGTGTTCACTTCTCTCCAAGCACAAAGAAAACAGCGTCCAGTGTCCAGGTGAACACAGAGTTCACTGGTTCAGAGCTGGATCAGGACAATCTCAGCCTGGCATCATTTACACTCAGAGCAGCAGGAGTGATGAACAAGAGCAGAAGAGCTGCGTCTACAGTCTGTCCAAGACCATACAGAACTCCTCTGATGCTGGGACCTACCACTGCGCTGTGGTCACATGTGGAAAGATCCTGTTTGGTGGAGGAACCAAAGTGGAGATGAGTAT